CTACGTCCTCCACGGCTACACCGCCGCAACTGTCTACGGGGCACCCACCCAACCGTGGCCGTGGGAGATGGCGTCCCTCCAAGGTGCTCTCCACAGCGCCACCGTGGGGCCCCTGTCGTGTCGTCTGGTAGCACCTCCGACTAGTACCTGAACTCCGGTGCGGCGTCACACATGTCTAACTCCTCTGGTAATCTCCACTCCCTTCTCCTTTCCACCACTCATTCTCATATAATTGTTGGGATTGTTGTACACCTTCCGATCACGCACTAGCACCGGGTCTTTGATTTCTGGCATTTCTCTGCAATGTTTTGGTTCCCCCCTTCTTTGATCAAAAAGCTTCTTTCAGTACGCCAGCTTTGCAGTGACAACCCTGTTTCTGTCGAATTTGGCATCTCTGGTTTTTCTGTCAAGGACCACAGGACCAGGGCGGTGATCCTGCGTTGTTATTCCATTGGTGATTTGTACCCCATGGTGTTCGGCCTGTCGTCTACACCCCCGTTCACCGGCACGGTCACTACGGAGCTGCTTCACCAGCGCCTTGGGCACCCCGGTGCCACTTATGTTCAGCATGTCGCCCCGCTGCCATTCTTTAGTTTCAGCAAATCTGTTCCACATAGTTTTCATGCTTGTAGGCTAGGAAAACATGTGTGTTTGCCCTTTCAGCTTTCCAGCTGTTGTATTTAGTTTCCATTTCAGTTGCTACATCTCGATGTACGGACGTCTCCTGTGGCCAGTGTCTCAGGTTACCAATTTTATCTTGTTGTGCATGATGACCACCCACTATGCATAGACCTTCCCTCTCAAACACTAATATGATGTTTGGCCTATTTTGCGCGAGTTTTACGCGTACGTCCGCACTCAGTTTCAGCTTCCCGTCTTCTCTCCTCAAACTGACAATGGCAGCGAGTTCGACAGTCACACTGTTCATTCTCTCCGCGCTGAATACGAATCTGGCTTGTCTAAATTTGAGTGCGGCATCTGGCTTGTCGAACTGGTGGAAGCGGACTTAGAGTTTGCCAAATTTAGACAACATATTGTATGCAGTATAATAGTGAACTACTTTTATTTTGAATATTAAATGGTGAAAAAACGTCTTGTTATTTGGAGAGATACTCTAGTGTGGTTTTGAAGTAGGAGAGTGAAATTTCATAACAAGGAGCCGAAATTGAAGTGCTGGTTCGGTATATGCACCAGCTAGCACACTTAGTAGGACAGTGGGCCAAAATTAGGCCAAGGCTGTCATCACGTTATGGTTGTTGGCTTGTTGCTATGTTGGACCACGTGACAGAGCTACCTACTTGGCCATGTGCACATCTCCATGAGGCATCCAGCAGCAAGTCTTGAAACATTGTATTTCATTATAGTGGCAAGTGTATATCAGAACAAGGACCATATACTGGCCTCCCCTGTCCTGCTCCTCTGAGAACACTATTCATTGTACGTAAATTTTCCTCTGAAGCATGTTTATATTGCGTTTCCCTAACTTCAGTGCAGCCTACAATTAATAATTGATATATGACCTACTGATTTATGCGTAAATCTTCGTGGAGCCATGCATGCATATTATAGAGAACATCGCTCCAGTTCTTGAGCTGAGAGCAGATCAGCATTGATTATTCTGATGAGCTGACAAATTCCTCTGTGATGGCCAATTCTTGGCAGTTAGTTTTATATATTAGGGGTCAGAGCATCTCCAGCCGCACCACAACAGGCCCTCCAGGCCATTTTTTAGCGCCGGCGCACAAAAAATATCCGTCCCGTCCGTTCCCGCCACGATGCGCGTCCCGTCCGTTCCCGCCACGCGTCACCCGGCATGCAGGTTTTCACCGCCCCGCTTCGCCTATAAAAGCCGACCTCCCCGCCGGTGAACACCATATTCGCCACAACTCGCCTTCTTTCTCGCCTCGTCTCACCACAGTAGCAACTCGCCCTCCTCTTCCCCCGCCAACGAGCAATGGCTGAGCGGTACCCCGGCGACGCCGCGGTGGTGAACGGCTTCGGCCGGAGCCATCCCCATGAGGACGAGGCACGCCTCCTCTACGAGGCCGACTATCCGGCGCCCATAGACATCCAGGGCCGGGCTCGTGGAAGTTGAGCGCCGGCGGCGTCCCAGTACCCCCAGTGCCCACAAGGGCTGAACGGCGGGCCGAGATCGCCCGCATCTGTTTGTCACTGTCGGAGGAGCAGCAGAACGCGCCGAAGTACGCTGCCGACAGCCACACGCTGTGGACGATGTACTTCGACCGCCGCCAGAGATGTCTTCGACGCTGTGGAAGATGTGGGGAACGCTGAGATATTACTTTTCTCCCGTTGCAACGCACGGGCATATTTCCTATTTTTTTAATACATGATGTTTCAAAATATATGATGAACATATTAATACATGTTGGATATTTTACAAATGCACTATGAGTATTTTTAAGTACTTGTTGATATTTTAAAATACATGATGTTTATTTTTAAAATACAAGACTATGTTTTTTAATTACCATTAAAAAAATTAAGTAATGTTGAACATTTAATACATGATGAACATTTTCACAAATACACAATAAACCGTTTTTCATGCATGATGAATGATTTGTAAATACACCATGAATTGTTTTTAAAAAGATGATGAACATTTTTCAATACACAGTCATCCTTTTATATGTACATGATGAGCATTTTTTAATACACCTTGAATATTTATAAAGTACATGATTAATATTTATGAATTACTTTATAAACCTTTCTTAAGCACACGATGACATTTCTAAAAGACGCATTGAGAACTTTTTAATATACACATTGATTTTTTTTAGTTTATGATGAGCATTTTTACATTCAATGCTATATATTTTGAAAATCATGAACTTTTTTCAATTACAAAAAAAAACATGGAAAAAAATTGTTATACGAGAACATTATTTTTAAAAATCAAGAACATATCTCTTTGGTATGATAAATGTTTTCCCAAAAAATATAAAAACAAAATGTTCAGAAAAGAAGATTAGGCGTTGCTGGGCCTAGCGCAGTGCCACGCAATCTAGGCGCCTGGCCCCCATCGGAACCCCCATGGCGACTCCCCGCCGCCGCCGCACTCACCCGCGACGAGGCCGCCGTCGCCGCCGCCGTCGGCTGCGGCGCGGCCCCGATCTCTCACGCCCGCCGTTGCCGCGCTCTCCTGCGAGGCCGCGCGCTGCACCTCGTCCGACGCTCTCGCCGCCGACCTCAGGAGGCTCCTAACCGGGTCCTCCAATCTTGCTGCTGGAGCGGGCCGCGCTCGCTAAGGTGCTCGTGTGCTGGCCGTCAGGCTGCGGAAGTGCGACACCGCCGCCCCTGCTGAAACAGTCGTGAGGAGGATGCTGCTGGCCGGCAAGACCGGCGAGGTGGTGGTGGAGGCTCTGATGGGGCTGGCCTCATGGAGAATGCTGGGTCGGCCGTTCCCTTGAATGAGCTGGAGATTTTATTCAGAGCTCTAGAAAAGGCAAATGCGATCGACTAGATCAGTTTTGATTTAAGCAATGTTCAAGGGTGCCACACAGGTTGGAATTTCTTATTCACATATCTCCATGTTAGCTTTTCGATTGTAGTAATTGATGTAATGCACATTGATTTTTACCTGAAATCTGTCATTTTATCTATCATCTGAAACCATGCCCCGAATCATCTTTTTACAACACACTAACTATTCTCTGTTTCTTGGCAGCAGATTGTATCGACACTTTGCATCATTCTTTCGCACCCTCGGCCGAGACAAGGTACCCTGTTCTCTCCCCATTCCCCTGGGTTGTTCTTCAGTTCAACAACCATTTCCTTTGAGCTGTCTGAAACCTTACATTTTGGATGTATACACGGCCAAAAAATAAAAAAAACTTTCACTGGTAATATCAAACTTATATGTGTTTGAAACTTTCTATGATAAAATAGAATGATTTTGTTGTCAATATCCAAAGTTGTATGCTGGACTAAAACTGGGCCTTTTCCAAACACAAAACATGCCGTAGTTGGCTACAGTATGGTCTCATACAAGAAATCTTTGAGCATTACAACGCAAGTTAAAAAAGATCAATAATGGAAGTAAGATTACAATAGAAGTACAAATTACAGGAATGAGTAGCGGATTTAGCAGTACCACATACGCACACATTACAAGAATCAATAATGGATTATGTCTGTTTATTTAGCCCTCAAGAAGGTGACGCGGATTTGAAGGAACATCCTCCACTTAATTATACAATACGTACCAGATGATTTGTTGGTCAACCAAAAGACAATGTGACATCTTCCAACCTTCTTCACTCGGTGATTATCTTTGGCCACTTGTCAGCGTACTTTTTGTCCAAATACTTAGGGGTGTCCTTCAAATCTTCTACCAAGAACTTTGTTATTTCATCTGCTTGATTACCAACACTGAGATGCACCTCTTGGAGGCTTTTGAGAGTCTCGATGCCGTAAATCCCTTCAAAGGCTTCGAATCGCATATCAATCCTCTCCAGTGCTGGCATTACCTCTTTTCCTGTAACTGCAAAGCTCAACCTTGGCACCATAGTTGCAAAGAAGCGAAGAAGCTTTAGACTCTTGAATCCCCCAGGTGGAATAATGATCTCCCTATCAGTAAGTTGTTTATTTTCCTCAAGGATGTCCACTATGTCTCTATCATCCTTGGCTGCGCTGAGTGTAAAGGTGAGCGTAAACAATTTGGGCAGGTCCTGGATGAGCTTGAAAGTATCAGTCCGAAGAACCGTTACAGAGAGGGTAAGCTTATAGAGGTTATTGAGTTCTTTGATCCACTGTGGGGGCCTTTCCATCTTGCCAGACAACTCTAGGCCGATGATGTATCTTGGAGCAGACATGGTGTCCAAGGAGTTAATAAAGTCAGAGCTCTCAGCATTGATTACAAGAGTCTGCAGACCGCAGCTGCAGAGGTACTCGATGGCGGAGCGTAACTGTGTGAAGGTCTGACCGCCATCTCGTTTATTGAGTTTGTAGATGGCAAGCTTCCTTAGGCCTGTCAGCTAATGAAGGCTTGCTACAGCTGATGAGTCCTCATCGATCTCAATCCCTGACAAGATACGAAGTGCTTTCATCGGCTCCTTATTTTTCAAATCAGGTAACTTCAATGCCTTCCTTGTGTTTTTATTCCCTCCAAGCATGCTACGGAGCTGCTTGAGCTGTCCAAAACCCTTGGGCAGCACCTCAACATTTGTCTCCCTTATGTCAAGAGTTTCTAGATACTGGAGCTTCTCAATCTTTGAGGGAATCTCAGAAACCTCTGTTCGTCGGAGGCTCAAATACTTCAGCACAAGCATTTTACATATGTCAATTAGATGTTTATTTGTAAGACCCTTCCAACCCTCAAGGTCCAGCACTTGTATTATTCCATTGTTGAACGACTCGAAAGGGAGTCGTCGGTTCTGGCTTCCAAACACTGTCAGCGACCGCACTTGAGATAAGTTCATACCTTTTGTTGAATTCCCATGCCTAGAACCGCTGCTTTGCATAGAGAGTCGACGAACTTTGTTGCTAGGAGTTGGCATCAACCAATGGCCACCAACAAGAGTAATAAAATTCTCTTCGCTTGACTTGGACACGATATATTCGAGAATCATATCATGAACTTTAAAGGATTTCACCTTCCCATTGCTGCTGTGATCCACAGGGCGTATTATCTTCCTGCTTACGAGCTGATTGAAGTATGTTTCTGCGACTTCCTCTGCACTCAGCCCTTGCTTCTCAGCGACGAAACATTCAGATATCCATCGCCGGGTCAGACGCTTCTTACTAATTTTCGAGCCCTTGGGGAATATGCTCAAGTACAATGAGCAGGTCTTGAGATCTGCAGGCAAATCATTATAGCAATAATCAAGTATCCTTGTGACCCCCTCCAGTGTAAGGGGAGCCACCTGCTCTGGAAATAATGACTTGCAAACTTTACTCCAATGATCACTGTTTTTTGTTGGGTTGCAAGCCACAAGGCCAGCCATGGTGACTATGGCCAAAGGCAGACCCCCACAATATTTCCATATCTCCTCATTGACCTCTTCTTTCTCCCGACCTTTGCTGCCTTGTGGATCAGAAACACGATCCTTCAGCAGATCTTTTGCATCGACATCACTAGGAACATCAGCGGAATGCAGATGATCAGGTCCATCTCCTTCGGAGGACTCAGTATCAATAGCTTGAGATCTTGTATCCATTCTTTCGCTTTCTTTGCTGCTTGGGCATTCAGAAACACCCTGATGAAATAGACTTTTGGAGTCAGCATCACTTAGAACATTAACAGTGTGCAGATAATCAGTTCCATCTCTTTCTGAGCATGCCGCACCAACAGCGTGAAATCTTGTAGTTACTATCACTCTACTATCTTTTGTATTATCATGTGGCAACCAATTTGTAATGGTCTCCCATGTTTCTACAGACCATATATCATCAACCAAGAGGAGATACCTGCCAATAAAACGGAAACAAAATACAAGTGAGAAGAAATGTGCTAACTTACTTAAGTTCATACAAGTGAGAAAAAAATTGGGTCACACCAATGTGGTGACCATCTAGATCTGTGCCCAATTTTATGTTTATTTATGTGTTATTGATACAATACATAGTTCCTCACATATTTCTTTTTACAAAAACGAAGATGATAATTTACCTAGAAATGTTAATTTGAGCTATATCTCGTTGGTGTAACAGGCTAGACATCCATTAAAATGTTAAAGATAGGGAAAAAACATGCATGGCCTATTGGTGAGGTCAATTATTACAGAAGAGAACGAGAGTGGCGGCGGGGGGTTATATTATGGTTGTTCGCCCTTTGTGCTGGGCTTTTGCTTAACTGCTCTTACTCTAATCAACCCATGTGCGCTTTTGTGCCGTTAAAAAATATTCATGTGGGGTTAGGCCACCGTACTGGATTTTTTCACAACAAAAGAAACCTCTCAACAGTTCAAGAGTAAACCTATATGTGTTTAAATTCAACACAAACACAACAAGTATGAACTGACGTATGTTCAACTTGCCATCTTTTTATGAATTGGAGGGATATAGTTCATATTTTACCTCTAACTTTTTAGGTCCAGTTTAGTATGTTACTTGCTCCCTTTTCTCAATGTTGCATAAATTCAAATTTATAATAAAATGTGTGTGATTTGGCGTTGCTTGTGACACGGACCCAAGTTAAGTAGTAGACTGGGTTCTATTTTTACTGAAAGAAATGGTGTTTATATTAATCTGGAAACATGGACTAGGTTCTATATATGTGCAGTGGTATTAAATTTACTATTGGTAACAAGTTGAAGTTCAGTTATAAAACTTGCACAAATATTCCTTGTGCAACTTTAACAAAATTAATATTTTGGTGTTTAATTAGCAAGGCTCCACTAAATACATAACTTTGTATTTATTCTTTCTTAAAAAAACTCCCATTTTTCAGTACCATTGCACATACTTAATAATAAGATTTGTATGCTAAACAACTATATATAGAAAAAGCAAAGCTATGATTTGGAGGTACCTCCTTCCATCCAGCCGCTTTTTGATTTCTTCGATAAGTTGGTCATGGTTCATTGATCCTATCTTACTCTTCGTGCTACCATCATTGCTTTGCGGCTTGTGACCAGAGAGCAGTGGCACAACTCGCTTCACTGAGCTTTTAATGTCTGCCACTAGGCTTTTGTTCTCCAACTTCCCTGTGTTGCTGCCCTCCTTCTCCTCCTTTGGCTTGATTTGCCTATTTGTTGGCTTGATTTGACCAAGAATATCCCTAAGGACTTCATCTTCGTCAAAGTTCTGAGATACTGTGACCGATGCCCGGCAGTCAAATTCATTCCTGAAATCTCGGTACAGTGCCATGGCAATGGTGGTCTTTCCCACACCACCGAATCCAATCAAGGACACAACAGCTCGATGAGAGCCTTTATCACGTTTGGTTAGCGAACCCCCGAGCTTCTCCATGTCCACCTTCACTCCCACGGGATTCTCCGTTCGGATTAGCTGACGGCTCACCATCAGATGCTCAGCAATGCCATATGTAACAGCATGGGTTGCTCTGGCTCTAGAGCTTCTTGGGATTGGGTTGTCCACTCCATATCTGCTGCGCCGCTCAGCAATGTGTTGTGCCCGGACCTTGAGCTCAGCAATCTTGGAAGCAATGTCGCGGCGAGGCCAAAATGTCCACAACTCGTAGACTATAGTCACAATGAAGGAGCATCTTGCATTGCTGAGAGAGTCCTGAGGGAGACGATGAGCAAAGTCATCAACGCAGTCTTCCATGTCGTATGCCATGTCACGGATCTGCTTCATCCAGCTCTTGAGCCGGCGATCGTGGTCGTCCAGGGCAGAGCCGAGGTCGCCAAGAAAGGCCTGCATGGTGGCGAGCTCATCGTTGATGTATTGGATGTCACCGCGGACACCACGGATCAGAGTGTACTCTTGGGCAAGGAGGCTGCCCAGCTTGCCTAGGAGGGATCTCATGGTGGCTTCCGAAGCACCCACTACAAACTCCATCTTCTCCTTCGATCTGTGTGCTCTTCACTAGTACAATCTGTCCCCTCTTATTGTTGCAAGTGCAAAGACAGTTCGAGTTCACTGCCTGCTCAGCAGCTGTTGATCTATGAAAGGAACAGTGAAAAAATAACAAGATAAGGCACTGTCACCATGAACCATGACTAGAAGACAACCAAACAGAAAAAGGCTCCACATGTCTAATCAGATCATGCAACAATTCTTGTGAATAGCAAATTGTTCCCAACCAAATTGTGCACATCTTCTCCATCTTCAAGGTGTCACTTTCCAATTTATATGTCAAAGTGCTAACTAAATTCAGTAACGGAAACATGCTCAAGATGCCATGGCAAGTTAGAAAAAGCTAGTACCAAACAACAGAAAACAGGAAGAAACGGAAGGAGCAGAGATGGGGGCAGGGCAGAGGAGGCACCTGCAAACTGGACAAAAACTGGAGTGTTGAGCGGAGATGGGGGCAGAGGGCAGCCGCCGTCGAAGGCGTCAGCTGCGCACTTCTAGCCGCCCAGCTCGCCTTGGAGAGCAGTCTTGATGGTTGCTTCCTAAGATAGTGAGTTCACTTCCATTGCAGTTGCAGCTGTTGCCAATCTTTCTATTCTATAAAGGCAAAGGAAAAACATCATGTCTATTGCGGTAAGAAACAATTAATTTAGAACATCTAGCCGGCTAACCGCAAGATGAACAGCATTTCGTTATCCCCAAAATTGACACAAAAATAAGAGGCTATATATTCTAGACATTAAGATGGTGAGTTCCAATTGATGGGCAACTTGGCAAGCAAACAAGAGGCTATATATTCTACTGATGAATTCGATCTGAGTATCTCTTCCCTGAAAAAAAGGAAGGGGAGTGAGCAGAGATGGGCACCTGCGACGGTGGCCGCCGTTGAGGAAGGGGTCAGCGGCGGAGGACTATGGATGGACGGCGTGGTGGCTCCCCGGCGGCGGATGGATGGAACACCGAGAGAGAGAGAGAGAGAGAGAGAGAGAACTGCTCCAGTGTCTTGTGTTGTAGTACTATATGCCGGGTAGAGCAATAATAATGCGACATACTTGCCTGGCCCAGCTGCTGCCCCTGGCATTCTTTTTGTTCAAAAAAGGTAAAAATATAAAAATCAATAACGGTAGAATGAATGTAGTCCTTTTTTCTGTATATATGTCAGCACTTCAACGCATATTGTGTGAACAATCTAGTGAAACTAGAAGATAACCCCGGCGTTGCCATGGGAACCGTGCTAGAACATCCGCAGACACCAACGGTCAACCAAAATCCTCCGCTATATCCGTTGACCTTGAACTTCATATCTCAAATCCATTCTCTCGAAACAGGATTTTACCCCGCTTTATATATAAAGCACAAACCACAAGCACGCAGCCGAACGATACGACGATGGAGAGGAAGCCTTCAAAGAAAGAAGAACTTAAAAAATAACGGACAACATATATCGGTCGGGACATGACCATGTCACCGAATACACAAAACAAGAGGACCTAAGGACTATAGAAACAACCACAAACTCCTAGGCTCCCCCGTCAACGCCCTCAAGAGGGGGAACGGCGCCAGGCGTCGCCATCGCCGCATCCGACGAAGCGGAACAAGGTTTTCACCTGGAACACTGACAGGGGAAGCAACTGCGACGACATCCTCAAGAGGAGAGTGGAACCCACAGGCGGCGTCGTCGTTCGTGCCGAAGCACAGAGCTTTCGCCTAGTTGCATCCACCAGCCAAACAAGTGCTAATTAAGCCGGTCACCGCGGTGTCGCCAAGAACTCCAGAACCAGAACTGGGCACATCCTCAGCCGTGACAGAGAAGACAACAGAGCCTCCCAATGCTGCATCCCTCGTCGTCCGCACGACCGAGAACCGCGACCACCACCGCTACCAGGAGACCCGCCGGAGAGCCCACCGAGTAGCTCACCTCCAGTGGCCGCCGCCTCGGCATCCCTCCCCGAACAACTCCCTAATGCCACAACACGTAAACGCCACCACCAGGTTGGGAAGCAACCACCTTCCCGCTAACCCGTAGGGTCCCACAACG